ACCTCTGTTAACACGTCTCCTCTTATTACTTGTGCATTTCTCCTTAAAATGCATATACAATGAGGAGAGAGGCTCACCTTGCAAACACAAACGACTAGCAACTCCAGTCTGGAGCGTCTGTCTCTTAATTCCAGCGCATGTTTTGTGCTGTGGCTGTAAAACTGCTGCAGAAGCTGGCCCTGGCCCTTACTGAGCATTCAGACCAAATGCAGAACCTGCTCCGGAGCAGCAACCTACATTTGAGAAACAACATACAAGCATCAACAAAGCATCAATACAGCAAGAGATCTACAACTGACTAGTAAGGGCAGCAATAAATATTAGTAGTCAGGGACTGAGATTGCTTTGTATGTAGGGATGGCAGAGCCAGGCGGCGTTTGTTGGAGGAGCATAGTGGCTGAGAAGAAGCTTGTATTATGGAGTTTAGGTAGATGGGTGCAGACCCAGTAGTCACTCTCCGTATGCAGCATTTGAAATTAGAAATGGTGGTTGGGAAGGTTCCCAAAGCCAGAGAAGTATTTCTCACAAGTGGTGGAGGAGATTGGTAGGAAAAGGGTCCAGTGGGCTTGTAGTGGGATGGCTAAGGGTCAGGAGTTCTGATATCTCGCTCTCCGTGAGAGGAGTAAACGAGGAGAGTAAAGTGCCATTAACCTGGGAAGACAGAGTGAAAGCTTATTTTTCTCCTAGCAATGTCCAGTTTTGTATAAATATGAAGTAGCAGTCCCACAGAGCTCTGGGTGCACACTGAAACCAACAACTGATGATTAGAGAACAGACAGCTCCCCTCAGTCAGGAGCTGTTGGCCAGAACAGATTCTGCCTGGTCCTCTCCACGGCATGTGCGCTGCACAGCTGTAGGATGAATTCAGGTATATTGCGACAGTTTTTGTAATTCTATCTTGTGATCTCGTTCTTGTCATGAATTTAAAAAAGTAACCCAACATATTTCTGAATTCCTCAAGATGTCTGCTTTCTTTATGTGAAGAAATGAAGTGTGTACAATATTTTGACAAAGCTAGGTTCACCATTTTGTTGTAGTTGACACAAAACTCATTTTCACGAACATGTTTGGTAATTTAGGTCACAGATTTATTAGTGTATTCCCTTGCTATTAACCCTATTGACATATAAACTTATTTCTTAACATACAACCATATATAAAATAAAAAAATTAAATATATGTCTAAGGTTACTTGATATTATGTATTAGCCTATCATTTGTTGTGATAGCTTAATTTATTTTTACATCAACAAATGTCAACAGGCTAGACTATTGATTAAGAAGTTAAAATGATTAAAGACTCCAACATGTTGTCAAAATTGTTTATTTTATTTATTTATCTGTTTCTTGGTGGCATTCTATTCTGCAACAGAACAGACATCAGAATAAAGTGAGTAGCAAACGTCTGCATGCAGCAGCATTGCTTCTTGATTAGACTTTACATGTTGCAGCACTACCACATTAAACATAGTAAACATTTGCTTTATTGTTTACCATCGTCAGAAGATTGTTGGAATATGCTAATTTGACCAGATGATAAGGCCTTCTACAGACGATGTGGGGGATTAGCATCATTAGTATCTCACTCTATCCACCTAAAAGTTACCTGTAGGTTACATGTCTGTGGTTTTGTGTTGCCACACATATGAGGTCCCAAATCAGGTTATATGAATCCACACTAGTGATAAATTTAATTCTATAGTCCCATTTTACCTGAAACATGCTGTCCCAAATTACCACAACACGTTTGGTAATTTAAAAATTGTAAACACAATTTCCAAATAATATAGTTGTATTTTGGTACACTATTCATGTTTTGTATATCATTTAAATCTACAGTATCTTAGTCATCAAATGTTTTACTCTTATATCAAAATCAAGTTGAACCTTATGGCGTTTCTATTAACTGTTGTGTTTTGGGATCAACTTCCTGTTTGATGCAGACCACACACCCCCATGATGATACATAAATTAAGTCATGTGACTTTGTGACTTCAGTTATGAGCATTCATAGCAAGGTCCTACCACCAATAACTCAGATTTAAACTTTTCAGGGGAGAAGTAAAATGCTGTTTTCTTATGCTGTCCTAAATTACCTGATGTCCCACGATACCTGAATTCAGCTTATTTAACTTAAATTAAAAGTATAGACTACATAACTTTACCTGATAAGCCTGCATTTAGTTTTGCGGGGATGCTCAGCAATGATATCAGCAGTCCATCAGTATGAATGATGACAACATTTCCACAGTCAGCTTCATGTAGGCAGAGAAAGAGGGAGAGAGAGAAAGGGGAGGAAAGAGGAGGAGAAATGGAGGCCAATAGAAAGGATAGAGACGAGACAGATCCTGTCATCTACTGAGACCATTTCCAATAAGACACCTAACTGTAGAGACCAGGAAGCACTGTTTGGACTCTGCTGTGGGAGAAGTGGCTGCTGGGAAATGTTTTGGTCAACTTGCTCTGGTTCACTGTGATGGCTTCAACACATGGAAATAAAATGTGTTTTATTAGTTTGGAGCTGGAAGTTGATGTCTGTCATTATTCTCCTTTAATCCCAGAAGCAAAGCAGATATTATTTTAGATGAACTGAGCTCATTCTAGCCGCCTCACTGTCTTCTTCCTAAATCTTTATTTGGACTGTTGTTTGGATGTTTAACACAGGGAGAGCATCTCAACATGTCTTTAGCACTTTTTGCTTCTCACAAACAGTTTAATTTAGTTGTTTACATATGTATGTTTACCCAAAGCTGTGTTTGTTTTTCTTTTTTGTTGTTTTTGTACAAACACAAACAACTCCATATTATTTGTTTCTTTATTTAATCTAAGTGTAATTTCTGCTGTTTTAGTGGTAGGCATGCTGCTGTTTAGGATGTGATTCAGAGCAGCTGTTTTGCAGCAGCTGCTGTGTGCTTGGCAATATGGATAAAATCTCAGCTAATAATGAGCTAAAGTTTAAAAAGGGGAAACATACAGCAGACTTTACTAACTTCTACTGAAACATGTTGGTCTGATCTGTTGTGACTGTCCCTGTCAGCTTCCTAGATGTTTACTGCACGCTCATTAGAATAAAATCAGTGAGGTGTTTTAGTGTTTGGACTGCTGCTATATTTTCTGTAAACCACCAGATGTCACTGTGCCGGCTGAGTTCAGGACCCAGAAGCATCAAATATTTCAGCAGAAACCAGAAGAAAGCCCAAAAGCTGCATGAAGCTCTGTTCAGCCCAATACTGACAATGGACATACTGACATACTAAATACTGACTGGACAATCAGAATACTAGTTCTGATTGTCCTGATGTAGTTTTATTCTAATGAGCGTGCAGTAAACATCTAGGAAGCTGACAGGGACAGTCACAACAGATCAGACCAACATGTTTCAGTAGAAGTTAGTAAAGTCTGCTGTATGTTTCCCCTTTTTAAACTTTAGCTTATTATTAGCTGAGATCCAACAAGAACAAGCAGATTTCCTAAAATGTCAGACTGTTTCTTTAAATACCTCGGCTTTCTGCAGGGGACACTTTGGAAACTAGCAAACTGCATTTTAGGAAGATAAACTGCTAAAAGCTTAAAGTAATGACTTGATAAGCTGATATGGATCCCAGATATGTAGATGCTTAAGTTTTAGTTTAGTTTTATTTTTACAAATTCCTCTTTTAGTGTCTGTTGGCAGTCACTGTCTGGCAGCTGAGATGCAGAATAGTTTTGCATTTTCTGATGATCTTTATGAAAAGTCCCAGGAGGACAGAGTTATGTAATCCAAGACAGGTCACAGTCAGTTAATGATTCAGTTAAATAAACATTCAGTGAAATGAAAACATAAATCAGTGTTTCTCAATCTCTTCTAAACATAATAACTTGTTGTGGTTAGTTTGTGTTTTGGGGGCCATTTCTGCCTTTATTGCAGGAGACAGTAGAGACATACAGGACATGAGGACAGAGGGAGACGGGGCTGATATGATTTATGTGTACATGATGATTATTTAGATTTTATTAGTCACCAATTCAGCTGCTATAATCGTAACTCAGCTGCTGACGTCAAATTATTAGCTGTAATATGAACCTGAGCATCCACTGAATTTAACACTAACCTGCCATATTTCATGTTGTTATATAGTAATAATAGTGCCCAATATGTAGTCTGCACGGGTCATTCCAACAGCATACTCCTGTGATGACAGTTGTTGACATTTCACATTTAGCCTAATGCAGGTTGTGAAGACAAGTAAACCAAGATTTCCCTCTTTGCACTACCTGTTCACTTTTGTGTCTGTATTTCTTATTTTATACAATTTTAGCAAGGTTCGAGTTTTAATCTGAGCTTCATGGGGGTCTCCAACATGGCCTACTAACTGAGGAATAAATAGGCCTAAATAGGGCTCAGATTATGGGTGTGACGACACAGTTAGGTCATGAGAACAAGACGAGAAGATATTTTAACAGTATTTTGAATAAATCTTCGATGCTGAAATATATCAGTTGGGGGTGGGGGGGTCTTATTTTTTGTTTTCTCATCGTTTCATTTGTTATTTAACATTTCGTTGCTGCAAGCTGTTTTTCAGACAACTAAATGACACCTAATGTCGATATTTTTTAAATGTCCCGCCCCCTCCAGGCAGTGATTGGTCATTTCACAAAAAGTGAACCTATTTCATCGCGCCCAGAGAACCTGATATGGAGTGGGCAGAGGAGATTACTGTAAAAATTCTATTAAAAAAAATCTGGTCCTCACTCATTTCTAAACCCTGGCTATGGCCCTGCTTGTAATTATTTTCTTATTTGAATAAATAAAAGTTAAATGTAACAAATGTTGAGGAATGATGATAGAAAGTGAAAGACAGCAGTTTGTGATTTGATATGATTGTGGGTAAACTATAGGGACACTGTGTTTGTGTGAACTTCACCTCACAGCTTTAGTGATGTCACTGAACAATGTTAGGTAGATATTAAAAACCTGCTCCCTTTAATAACCTGATCTCTCAAACAGGTTTCACTCTGAAGAATGGAAGATTACTACTTTAACAGCAGCTCACAGCCCCCCCCAACAACTGATACAACAACTGATAGAATATACCCCACCATCTTTGACATGTACGGTTTCCACACCCCCGACTCTCAGGACTACAGCGACATGATCTTCAACTACGAGAATGACAGCAATTTCACCTCCAACTACCAGAATCACAGCAGCATCATCTCCATCTACCAGAGTTACAGCTATACATTCATCATCAGTGTGGTGATATACATAATCTTTGCTCTTGGCCTCCCGTCAATCCTCATGGCCATCTATTCTCTTTATTCTATGGTATGTACATTCTGACAGAGTTATTTATTTCCTGTCTGTGTCGTGTGTCTGTCCTACAGTCTGTCTGTCTTTAAAGGATCTTGATCGGGTTTTCGGGTTAGGTCCTCTTGGGGTTTACAAGAATAATTAGCTCCATAATTAAAAATGTACATGAGGCTGATTGGACCCTAAACACATGTAGTTTACACGTGTGGCTCCATCCAGCCTTCTACACAACAGTAATACACTCACAAAGACACACAGAGCAAATGTTAACTATTTTGTTCTTTGTTGTTTTCTGCTTTTCCCTGATATCAGGAATTGTTCTTTTTAAAAATTTCCTTGTTAATTGACATTTTGGTAACATTGTCTTTAGTCCACTTATGCAGAGAGAGACAGATAGGTTTATAACAACTGTTACAGTTTTTTTCAATTGCTAACCTGCATTGTCAAAATTTCACACACAGTCAGTGAAACATAGGTGTATGTGGACCAAACTGAATAATTAGGGCCCAAGCTCGAAAGTGCAAGGGCACCAACGAAAATTTGCACACACCTCAGATCTGGTGGAAAATCCAATGTTCTGCACTGATAGGGTGGGGCGTGGCCAGGGGGCTCAATAGCACCCCCTAAACAAACAATAGGTTTTGGACAAAGTTTCTTTGATCTTCATGAGATGTTGTGTGATTAATGCTCTTATTACAAAGTCCACATATCAGCTTTTTTATGAGATTTCGCTCAACAGAAAGTCAGCCATTTTGCGCTTCCTGCATCATTTTAAAATTTTTAAACAGATATTGGAGGCCTTTAGGATGATCAAAGAGCCACGAAACTTCGCAGCCAGAGTCAAACTGGCAATGTTTCGATTTGATGTAATTTTTAAGACTGAGGGTGTCACGTTGGCTCTATAGCGCCCCCTAAAGCCTTTTTAGCCATGAAATGGCCAGGGATAGTCAATCCCTCACAAGACTTTAAACGCTCGTCAGAACAGTTGTTTTGTATTGGCTGATATGATTTGGGGGACCTACAAAATTTCCAAAAAGCAGCCCCTGCAGTATGTTGTCTCTAGCTATATGAAATGTGGGGGGCCGATGTATCATCTCTAGGCTTAAAAATAAGTCTCTGGAGCCATATCCTAAACCCAAAAGGAAGTTGGCCATTTTGAATTATTTACGAACTTTTACCCCGTTTCCACTCTCCTAGAGCTTTTACACTATCTACTTCAAATGTGGGTAGCACCATCTTTAGAGCCTTGTGATGTTAAATTGCAATGCTTTTTTTGATTGATCAAACGGTGCGTCAATGGCGTGCCGTTAAATTGATGTCACGCCATGTAGAAGGAAGTAGCATATAAATGGACTAGACATGGTCTGATATGTCCCAAAATTCACAAGTAAACCTCTTAGAGACTTACATGTCAATATCCAGTCATAGTGATAGCGCCACTTACGGCATCTGGAAAGTACGTATTAAAATTTATTTCTTATGCCTCTTTCATATTTTCACCCCACTTAGTACCTCAGCGGACCAAAATGTCCATAGTGAGGCTTTTATGCTCCTCATAACAGGTTGACCACATCCATCTTAAAGTTCTTGTCAAATGCTCTTGCCTTGGTGTCAGCTGGAGTGCGATGCAAGAGTCCCAGCTGTCGCTGCACCCGAGGCACGCATGGGGGCGAGGGCCCGCTCAACGCTGCTTGCAGCTTTAATTTTTCATTGCTTTCACACAAAATGCATTCAATGACTTTCTCCCAAAAATCCATGAACTCTTCTCTTTACTACTTCACCACCTGCAAAATACTATATATCAGCAGCACATTTTTCAAATGCTAACACACTGTCCAAAACTGTTAAAACACATTCAAAACAAAATGATTGCAAATATCCTGCATTTTTGAAGCAACTGGACAGATATATATATATATATATATATAGAAAATAGCTGAACATTTGCGTACATTTCATGTTTCTGTTTATGTGCATACAGAAATGTGTGTAATGTTTTTAATGTGGTTTTACTGTAAAACTGCACGCTGAGTGGAAAGCAGAATTGGTTCAAAGGGTTAGTACATCACTTACAGGCTGTGGTCATTGTGTCTCAGGTACCAGTGTTACTGTAACTGTATTGCATTACAGTACTGAAATTTCAGGAAATTCTTTCATAAGCTAATTACTGAAGATTATTGCAGGAAGAGCAAATTTCTGTGTTTCTGAGTCATTCTTGTTTTAAAAGATTTTTTCAATGTGTCAGTTTTTCAAAACATCTGTTTTAATGTTTTAAAAAGCTTTGATAAAATTTTATGGCCAGTGCCAAGTGTACAGACACCAGGGTCTTCACTTCCCCTCTAATGGTTTCATACCACAGTAGAAGACAATGAGAAAGAGCTCACACATAGTATAAATACGTGTATAATAAACAGCTTGTTAAACTCTGTGTTACTTGAACATTTTTCAGTGTGCTTCTAAGTTTCTTTGTGTGCTCCCTAAATTTTTTCATTTAGGAATCCGGATTTTTTGAATCTTTTAATGCAGCTTATTATCATGTTTGATGTTTAATCTGACAGGTGAAAAATTGTGTGACCTCAGTAAATCCAGTGAAAACATAATGAACCTTTGTTAACCTGTCTCTTATTTGTGTGATCCTCCCTAAAATGCATATACAATAAAAAGAGAGATTCTCACCTTGCAAACTCAAACAAATGAGTCTCAAACTCCAGTCTGGTGCATCTGTTTGATAAATCCAGCTCATGTGTTTGAGCCAGAACGCTTCATATCTGTTGCTGAAAAACTGCTGCAGAAGCTGCAGGAAATCTGGTCCTTAGTCTTGTTCCTGCAGTGATTGGCCAGTGGGTCATATCTGAGATTCCTGTTTGATGAAAAAGTCAGAAATGGCTCTGACTGCAGCTGCTGGGCAGAGCAAGATGACAGATTTGGGAGGAGGTGGACTTCACAACATGTTTCCAACTGCTTGTTGACTTTTACCAATGTTTTCCGGCAGGTGAGAAGTGATCATGTTGCTCCCATCTACGTCATCAACCTTCTCATTACCGACCTGATTCAGCTCTGCTACATGATCGTTCCTGTGGTTTCAAATGTGAATAGGACTATACGTATCATCAGTTCTATTTACCTCTCTGGTCTGGTTGCCAGTGTTTACTTCATGGTCTGCATCTCCCTGGAAAGGTATCTATCTGTCTATCCAGTATGTGTGGAGCTCCTTCTGTGTCTGAACATTATATTAGTTTATAACTCTGAAGCTCCTCAAAGATTTTGTGTCCATCTTGTATTACAGGTATTTGGTCATCGCCCACCCACTGTGGTACCGCTGCAGACGAACCATCAAGACCTCTGTGGTGGTCTGTGTCCTGGTCTGGGTCCTTTCTCTTGTATATGGTGTCCTTTACTATTTCATTGCTGCTTATGTGGTCAGGTACATAATCTTTGCCATTCTCCTCCTCCTTCCCTTCCCACTGTTCATATTCTTCCTGACTGGGACCCTCAAAGCCCTGTCTGCTTCCATCTCGGTCCCCTCTGATGAAAAACGACGAATTGTGGGAGTTTTGGTTCTGGTGCTGCTTATTTACACCCTGCTGTTCCTGCCCAGAATCATTTTGAACCTGGATGTAAACTCTAACGTGACCCTCGCCCACCTGTCTCTCATCTTTGTTAGGTTCAGTCCTCTTGCAGACTTGTTCCTGTATGTGTTCATGAGGAAAGGGACCATAGACAAGCTTTTGGCCTCTGTGTGTTGCTGCAGAATGGACAGCAATGATATCAGCAGTCCATCAGTATGAATGATGACAACATTTCCACAGTCAGCTTTCATGTAGGCAGAGAAAGAGGGAGAGAGAGAAAGGGGAGGAAACAGGAGGAGAAATGGAGGCCAATAGAAAGGATAGAGACAAGACAGATCCTGTCATCTACTGATAGAGAGTCATAGCTCTATTGAGCCATGTGTTCCGATAGCCCTTCTAATCTATGTCCTATTTATCAGATTGATCTCAGTTTGTACATGTTAACAATGAATCCTCCATGCACGCCAAAGCTAGTCATGATGGGAATTATTGGGTCACCTTACCTATATGAATAGTCTTGTGAAAGTTATTTTTATTATTATTAGTAGTAGTACTGTTAATGTGAGCTACAGTATAGAAATAAAATTTAACTGAATTGAAATTGAATTGATATGATTTCCAATAAGACACCTAACTGTAGAGACCAGGAAGCACTGTTTGGACTCTGCTGTGGGAGAAGTGGCTGCTGGGAAATGTTTTGGTCAACTTGCTCTGGTTCACTGTGATGGCTTCAACACATGGAAATAAAATGTGTTTTATTAGTTTGGAGCTGGAAGTTGATGTCTGTCATTATTCTCCTTTAATCCCAGAAGCAAAGCAGATATTATTTTAGATGAACTGAGCTCATTCTAGCCGCCTCGCTGTCTTCTTCCTAAATCTTTATTTGGACTGTTGTTTGGATGTTTAACACAGGGAGAGCATCTCAACACGTCTTTAGCACTTTTTACTTTTCTCATACACATTTTAATTTAGTTGTTTACTAGTATGTTTACCCAAAGCTGTGTTTGTTTTGTATTTTTGTTATTTTGTGTAAGTATAAGTACTTGTATAAGTAAGTAAATAAGAAAAAAACATGTGTAATTTCTGCTGTTTACCCAAAACTGTATTTGTTCATTGTTTTTGTTCTTTGTTGTGAGGATGAGAAATGTGAAGAAAAGGACACTGGAAGCAACTGGTTCTGGTTCTTGGGGGGCCTTCACAGATACTGTTTGACTGCCTTATAGTAAAATGATTCGCCTGTGCTTTAATTTTGATGGCTTGCCTTTTAAGACTGATGCTTGGTGCCTGCTTAGCTCAGTTTCCAAAAGTACAAAGTGAAAGTAAGAAAGATGTTTTGTTTGATATACTGTTTTATATTTTAATGTCTCTACAGTCTCTTGAGCGCTGACCTTTGCTCGGCCTTCGGAGACCTATGGTTGTACATGATCATATTTCAGATTAGACACTCATGTCCAGTAAAGAGGAAGTGAAAGTCTGCTCTTGCTGGCAACTCGACCCTTTAGAGAAATAAAAAATGTCTCCCTGATGACAGATGTGTTCATCTCGCTCACATGAAGGGAGGCGAGAAAGGAGGTGTGAAAATAAGAAGCGGGTCAAGAGTTTTCATCTTATAAATCAATACTATGAGTTTCTAATATTCATTAATACATTTTAAAACTTGTGTTTTGAGATAACATCCTCTACATGTATCCCCTGCTGATGTCTGAATAATTGTTTTGATCAGCAAAGAAGGCACTATTTGTTAATGTGTCAACAGACAAGAACCTTCATTTTGTGACTACAGGAGCAGGGGAGGCTTTCTTCTCTCCTTTTTAAAGTCATCAGAGAGGTGAGAAGGGTAGAATGAGTGTCGACATGAACTGATTTAATGTATTCTGCATTTGGAGTGATGAATTTAAAACTGATTTGTGCATGCACTTAAGATTATGTAAGAGATGTTCATTTATTTATTTAAGAAGTGTGGCCTACTATATTTGGCCTTTATGCGTTTGAACATTTAAAAGATTTTACTAAAATGAGTTATAGAGACCTGCATGATATGTTTTATTACCATATTTAGAGAAACATTTAAGAACTGAGGCAAAGGGGTGTTGCAACTACTGGACAGAAGACCATCTACCCATAAAAGGAAAAGTAATGTAAAAACCAATCAATGTGATGATCAAGTTCTGATAGCCAATGATTGTTTGAGAAAAGGGTGGGGTCCTCCCTGTCTATTTCTTTATTTAAGTTGCTGACCCTAGAGCTCTGTGTGAACTTTTTGGGGCTTGTTGAAAATAAATAAGTTTCTCTTTGGGCCTTAACAAAACTAGACTTTTCGTCTCATTTTTTGTCTTTGTTTTCTTCCCCCTCTTCTGGACTGGTAAGTTAGTATTTACTTACTTTAACATCCACACTGTCTGCATTAACACACCTCATTACAGATAAACCAGCAAACTGGCCCTTTAAGAAGCTCATTCCAGGTTATCTGTTCAGTTCCCTGCTCTCTGGAACACACACTACATGTCAGAGAACACAGATATGCGAGAGATTCTGAATGTGCAGAAAGTTTTAAACATGAGCAGAAAACCTGCTAAAACACAGGATTTATTAAAGTCCAGGAATTCATTAACTTCCCCGTGCAAAAGATACAAAAGAGGATGGAAGACTGAGTCATGCTGCATGTGTGCTGACTCAGGAGGGATTTTATTAAATTAGAAAAGTTGATCTACAGGAGAAATGTTGGCTATTTAAAAGCAATAGTTAGAGAATGTCTGAAAGCCTCATTACATTCTATACAATTTATTTATTTTGAATTGTCACCTGCTGCCTGAATTTTGTGTTCCCCTTTACATAAATGAAGACTTTTCCACAATAAATTGAGGCAAACATTTTCACCAGAATGCAGGAAATGAAGTCCTCAATGCTTACAATTTTCTGGGGGAGGACCCCCAGACCCTCCTCTTCATTTGAGTCATCTCCACCATTGAAACTTAACCAGTGCTCTTGTATTTCAAGAAATCTACCCCACACTGCAAGAAAATAGTTCATAGAGGGACATAGTTTTTAGTCTCCCAATTTAGGCTAAGATGTTGAGGTTGACAAGTATGTGGATCACAGTTATTCATCATTGACCATGATTTCTGACTTGGCTTTTCATCTATACATGCTAAAATTGTGAGTTTGGCAGCTGAACGTTTAAAACAATTCTTGAGGTTAGGGGAGCGATGACCCCAACCCCTGAGGTGGACTTTTTGGGGTTGGGCATGGGGGCTAAAATCCACTGTATGTTTCCCCTTTTTAAACTTCATTATAAGCTGAGATCCACCAAGAACAAGCAGATTTCCCAAACTGTCAGACTAGACGAGGTGACAAATTGATTACATAATTTCTTTTACAAATTTGGTGTACCTAAAAGACTGCCAACAGACCAGGGCTCAGAGTTTTGCAACCAGGTACAGTAATGATGCTGTATGTGTCCCCAGTGTGTAATAAGGCCTGCAGCTGTGCTGACTATTTCATGTTTCTCTAATCATTCTGAAGGTCGACTATGGACTGTGTGAGAAACAGCTGGCAACCGAGTACAGCCCGTACTTTCTGATGTTTGGGAGGGAAGCGAGGTATCTCAGAGGTGCCAAAAGAGTACGAAGTAAGAGTATGCATGTATGTTCACTAGTTATGTCCTACATTTAACTGTGATTTGTGGCAGGTCACAGAGGATAAAGTCAGCAGCCTACTGTGCAAGGAGATGAGTCTGCAGAAGATTGAGTCTGTACACGCAGAAGTCATGGCCAATATTAAGAAAAGCCAGGACAAGGTCCGCAAAAGAAAGCAGGAGAGGGGCCATGAGGACAACTTCAAAGTGGGGGTCAAAAATGACAGTCAGGGGCAGCGATAAAGGGGGCAAGCTGGAGACAGATATGCTCGGGCCGTTACAAATCACTGAACTCCAGGGGAAAAGTGCTGACCTTGGGGGGGGATTTAAGATCAACATTGACCACTTGACACATTATGTCCAGCCAGGGGAGAGGATCCCTGCCAAACTGATGACATTTTTGGATCTTTCTCTGGCTGGTCCATCACAACATCCACTAAAGCAGCACACACACATATTCCACAGTTGGGGAGAGATCCACAAGCCAAAACGCAGCAGCTTCATTGGATGCAGACATGTGTGAGTAAACGTGCACAAAGTACACCCTAAATGATGCATTTCACAAGTAACTGACTGTCATTGATTCACAGTAATCAGAGACATATGGGCAGGAGGCCGCAAGGAGAGGAGATGGTCCGAGGCTGGGCCATACAAAGTCCATGGATAGAAACAGTGGATAACAGGTGACTCTTGTTCTCATAGGTTATTAATGCATACCCATTTATTGTGGGACAAAAACAGGGGCTAGGATAATTAATGCCTATACTACGACTGAGGGGCTCCCAGAAATGTTATAGAAGGGTTGTGTTCCCCTTTATATAAATAAAGACTTTCCACCAATTGGTGCAGAAAATGTCTCCAGAATGCAGGAAATTATGTGTTTAATTCTTAAAATCTTCTGGGGGAGGACCCACAGACCCCCCAATCGTAAATTTTCATCAATGAATATTTTTCCTTTAAATAGTATTAAAATATCTTCTAGTCTTGTTCTCGAGACCCCAATATTCTGCATTGTCACGTCTCAAGGGCTGTGTTTTGTCACAAGTCTAACCTTTTTTTATTTTTTATTTTTCACCTTTATTTATACAGAGAATCAGACTGAGACCAGGGTCCCTTTTACAACTGAGCCCTGTGTACAGCAAACAGATATTATAATAAGAAATATTCATAACAGATATAAAAATATTAAAAAAAAACAGACAATTTACATGTACAAAATACATTTGTGAGGAAAGTGTTCATTCCACATTGCTTTAAATCGTCCTGTTGAAATCAGGACAGCTAGTTTAAACTTTTCCTGTAATTTTTTCCAAGAATTCGCAGCATTGTATTCAAAGACAATTTTCCCTAGCTCACAATGGGCTCTGGGAATTTCTAAGACTAACAATCTTTGGAACGTGTCTGATAACTACCGGCTTTCCAATTTATTTTAGTGGTCAGATAGCTGGGAAGTTTATGCGTTATAGCCTTATAGACGAGTAATAACCAGTGACTGGTTCTCCTGGCGACCAGAGAATCCCACCCCACTAGCGAGTATAGAAGACAATGGTGTGTGTTGTAATTGACACCCATAATAAACCGCAAGACAGCATGATAAACTGCATCAAGAGGTTTAAGTCAAGTACTGACATGAAAGTAGCTTCTGCAATGTCCATTCTATGCTGATAAGACAGACAAGATTTATTTCTGTAGAATAAACCAATCTTCACTCTTAACTTCCTCAGCGAAACAGTAAGATGTCGCCGCTGGCTACCTTAGAGTAGTTGTGTTCTGGAGTACTCTGAACAGTATGCAAATCCCCGCTGCGAGCACCTGTTGAGGATTGGTTCCCCTGGACCTGGAACCACCCACTTCCTGGTTGCTGTTTGCTGGCATCTGATTGGTGTGGCCGAAGATCCAACCAGGACCAGCTGGCCTACTAATAGTTTGTGTTTCTGCAGTTCTAGGCGACTGTAAGCCGGTGATCAGTTTGCCTTGTTGTTGATTGTGCACCCTTGTGAATTTCTTGAGTGTTGAATTTACCTGTTTCTGTCGGTTGCCTGCTTACGTGACTCCTGTCAGTTAGAAACCTTGTGAACTACAGAGTTTAGGGTGGAACATTGTCTGTTTGGTTACCCTACATTCTTGTAAAGCATGTAGGTACTGACCTCCTTTTGTTCAGTGTTTTTTTTGAGTAGAGAGCTGTCTTTGGACAATACCTCCTTTTGGTTCTGTGTCAGTACCTACATACCCTCCTTTTGTTGTGTTTTTTCTGAGACAATCATTTAATTAAACAATTGACTCAAAACTTAATTCAGTTGTCCTTACCACCTTCATCTATCCCAAATACCTTGTTACTGCCCTACCCTAACGAGCTGGGTTGTAACATCATCCAGCCAAATATGCAGGAACACGTTCTATACCAGTAACATCCAGTGTACTAATTTTAAACTCATCCAAATGTTTTCTGGAGATGGAAGAGTAAATATTTAGTTTTACTTGAATTCAGTACCAGCTTCAGATCAATAAGAGATTTTTGTAGAATTAAAAAGTCGGAAGAAGAGCAAGTGCTTGAGCATAGGATGGGGCAGTAGCATAAATCAATGGCATCCGCATAAAAATGATATTTACAATTTCTCACAGTGTTACAGATCATTTATGTAGAGAGTAAACAACAAGGGACCTAATATTGAACCTTGAGGACTTCCTTTTTGAACACGAAGGATATCTGATTTGCACCATCCATTACAATGACCTGTGTTCTATCACTCAGATGATGTTTAAGCCATGTGCTAGTGTTACCTGTCAGACCCATTGAGGACAATTTTCTCAGCAAAATTGAATGATCAACTGTATCAAAGGCTTTTGACAAGTCAATAAAGAGATAAGACAGTAAGATTTTTCATCAATTGCTTTTACAACATCTTTAATAAGTATTGCTGTAATAGTGATGTGCCCAGTTCTGAAGCCCGATTGATATTTAATGAGAATATCCCTTTCAGCTAAAAAAGTACGCAGCTGTAAATTTACTAAAGACTCCAACATGTTAGCCAAACAAGATAATTTAGAAATTGGTCTATAGTTCTCAACAACACTTGTGTCTCCATCTTTTGTGAAGAGGCAGCACATGGGCCACTTTCCAAACTCTGGGAATAATACCCAATGTTAATGTAAGGTTTAAAAATATGTCACAGCTTCCTCCCCCCCCCCCGACACTTGTTTTGTATTTATGGCACACAGAGTATGTAGTACTTCATTTACAGTGAAAGGTTTTAGTGCAAAATCTTGAGTATCAAGACAACAGCTTTATCATCATCACTTACTCTTTTTGGTTTCACTAGAAGTAACCGTAGAGTTTCTTTCAAATAAAGAACCAGCTGCAATGAAATGCAAATTTTTTTCAATTTAAAGCTTCTTCTTGGGGCTCCATCTGAAGCAGAGCACATTAAGAGATGGTTCCCCACTCAGAGTTTTAACTCCCCTGGTTTCCTGCTGTCTTTCTGCCACCGGCTGACAACGTTCCAGAGCACATGAAGAGATGGCTCACCTGCCCTGAGTCTGGACTCCCACCTTCCATCGTCCTCTTTCCTCCATCCATTCATCCACAACCCTGATCCCTCACCTTTTCACTCCCTCATTCATCACCTCATCTCTTCATCCAAACATTCTGCAGTAGTGTGCCGCTTGTGAATGTGTGTAACTGTGTGAATGTCAACAGCGTGCAGAAGTAAACATTGCTCTTTGTAAAACTACTGAGGTCTGAACACACTAATTGTTAAGTTTTACACCTAAACATCTACCAAAATGAATGTAATGTAGCAGCTAAATAAATGCAGAATATCCATCCATCGTCATCCGCTTATCCTGCGTACAGGGTCGCGGGGGGGCTGGAGCCAATCCCAGCTGACATTGGGCAAAAGGTTTGGTACAACCTGGACAAGTAGCCAGTCCATCGCAGGGCTAAATGTAGAATAATATTTCTAAATGTATTCATTTATTGTAAGTAGCTAAAGTAGACTCAGTGACCCAGATGTCACTTGGTGAATCAAAGTAGTGTGGGCTGAATAGAGCTTCATGCAGTTTTTGGGCTGAGAAAAGATTTGAAGCTTCTGGGCACTGAACTCATCCGGCACAGTGACATCTGGTGGTTCACAAAAAATATAGCAGCAGTCCAAGCTGCAACACTAAAACACCTCACTGATTTAATGCTGTCGTTTTTATACCATGAGTGCGCCGTAAAAGTCTAGGAGGCCATGTATTCTTTGAATTACTACAGTAATGTTGTTGTATTTTGAAAAATAAATCACAAGTGTCTGTGGTAGTGACCACACTCTCAACCCAAAGACTTATTTACAATGTCAAAAGCAAGCTGCTGAGAAGTTACAAAAGCATGAGCATGAATAAAGATATTCATATAAGCAGACTTCCAGTTAGGACTGTGTGTCAGTGTATAAGGTTTTTTTATCCATCAGGTTAGCCAAAAGCTTTTCAGTAAAGTGTGCAGAGTTGATGAAATCCTCTCCCAGTGATGCCTGAACAGTCAGAGATCCAGCATGAAATATAAGATGTTAGTTTGGAAGGGATCAGTGGACCAACCAAACGGGTATTTCTGTCTGAGGAGAAGGAAATTCCATCTGAGAGCTCTGAATGGAGCTGAAATGATTCAATAATTAACTTTTTATTTTCTATTATCATGTATGAATGGATAAATTATAATTAATTTAATTTATCATCATAACTGTGTAAACTGTGCAGCTTATCAAGTCATTACTTTAAGCTTTTAGCAGTTTATCTTCCTAAAATGCAGTTTGCTAGTTTCCAAAGTGTCCCCTGCAGAAAGCCAAAGTATTTAAAGAAACAGTCTGACAGTTTGGGAAATCTGCTTGTTCTTGTTGGATCTCAGCTAATAATGAGCTAAAGTTTAAAAAGGGGAAACATACAGCAGACTTTACTAACTTCTACTGAAACATGTTGGTCTGATCTGTTGCGACTGTCCCTGTCACACTTTATCATTTCAGCCCCAAATTATTATCTAAAAAAGTCTGCAAACTTTAAGAGTTGTGAGGAAACCTCACTTGGTCAGAAAGTGCAGGATGCCTCCCTGCTAACAGCAGGTTGGGCTTTATGTTCATATAGACAATAGAGATTTGTCAACCAGCAGAGATTTTGTTAAACCTTCATTTGTCAACTTTTAATTCACTGAGTTGGTCAAAGACAAACATTCACAGTTTGGTCTACAAACTGATTTTTATTGGATTTCCAGA